TAAGCCAACAAAAACGTGGTTCCCAAACAGACACTCATCTCTGCTTGTACGCAACTCTGGTGTTAGTTTCCGTGTAGCTGCCCCTGGGGTCTTCATAGCCGCCCCGACTGCGACTGCGCTGTCTGCTCCTGTCGCGCCTCTGGTATCTTTCATAATGGTCGCTCTCGCTCGATGCAGGCTCCACATATCTGTAGTGCTCGTAGCGAGGGTTCTCGGGACTGTAGTTGCGTTCGCGCTCACGCCTGACCTCTCGCTCTGTATACACATACTCGCTGCGGCTAGGGCTCGATGAACGAGAACTCATGCTAGACCTGGGCGAGACTTCGACGTAGTGCGCACCGCCATGGCGTGACTGGGTGTGGTGCGAATGGTGAGAAGAGATGTGGCTAGGCGGTGGAGGTGGAGCCGGCATGGGCGCTGGGGGAGGAGGCTGCACGAACACAGGCACAGGCTGCGGTGCGGGGATCTGGAGAGGCTTTGGCGAGGGCACCGCGACGTAGGATGCTGAGGGCCGTGGAGAAGCTTCGTGCACAATCTCGGTGCGCGAATAGCGGCGCTCGATGTCGCGCGATTGGCGTGATGCGCGGCGACGGGGCGGAGAGCGGTTCCGCTGGACGACGCGGTAAGGGACGATGTGGTCCTCTTCCGGCTTGACTTTGACCAGACACATGGCGCTTTCACCCTCGGCAGGGTATGCAGTGACAGCGAGGCCTCAAAAAGTGGGAAGCTGCGACTGCGATCGCGATGTGATTCGCGCGACGATCAACGTGGGGTTCGATCGAAGGCGGGACGGGGCGCACCACGACTGAGTGAGAGGCTCAGCGAGCGCAACGAGAGCTGGAGAAGATGGGCAGACAGATGCAAAATGAGCGGCACATGAAAAGGTCACCAGAGGCTATGTATATGTCCTACAGATCGGGCAGCCGGTGCCCAGCCACACAGCTGACCCCCATGTCGATTCCATGCTGCTCCGCCTTGGAACTCAGCATGCGAGTGTGACGATGGGGTCTGGGCTTTTCTGACAGCTGAGTCTAGCGTCCTGGTCACCCTGGTTAGCCTCAGGTACGGACGGAGCCGCCAACGTCAACAAGCAGGGCAGACTAGATAAACTTCATATTGCAATAGCCGTCTACACTCGTGATTATCATGCTGCATTTCACATACGACCATCAGACATGCCGCCAGTTTTCCCGTCCCGAAATATCATACAGCCTTTACATACGCTGTTCACTCTTCCACAGGTGCCGTGCGACTGCCCTTCATGCTACCTCGCTCTCAGGGTCCCTAGCTAGTTTCCCGGTGTGTTACTTTTTAGTATACATGGGAGTCTCTGGGCGGGCCGGGCGGTGTAGGCTTCTTATTTCACTTCCTAACCAAGGTGCTTGCTGGAGTTAGGCCATGTCTACCACTAGTCGTCCATGGGCTTGTCTTCCAGCGTGACACCTCTTGGCGCTGCTGTGTCGTCACTCCTCAAGCTGCCGGTAGAGTCCCGATTGCCCCTCGTCAAGCTGCCTGCATGTTTCCGTGGGAAAGGCACCCGGGTACTTGATGGCGCTGGGTGCTCGGCGGGAGCAGGAACAGGAACAGAAACAGTTGCGGGCTCTGTTGTACCATTGGTGGTTGCAGTGACTTCTTCGTTGGTAGGGCTGTCGTCGCTTCCAGGTACTTCAAGAGAACCACGATCTCCCTTGCTCCTTCGCGTTTCGGTTGGTGACGATGTGTTCACGGGGAATCGAGTCTGACTTCGGTCACGGCGATGCGAGCCGGAGACACGCGAACCAGGTGCTGGTGATACCGCACGAGGAGAGCGTTGAGCTGCGATGGCTCGTTGGCGCTCTTCCATGTTTGCTCGTCGGTTGCTCTCATCCGTCGAGATCGCGCGTGGGCGCTGTGCGCCCGAGGCTGAGTGGGTGAGCGTGCTCGCGCGCTTCAACTCTCCAAAAATGGCATCCTTGTGCGCAAAAAGGTCACGGACGAGGCGGTAGCTGTAGCGCTCGTTCATCGTCAAGCTCGATTCTTGCCTTGGCCTCAAGATGCATGGCGCGAGTGCATTGGCCAGTGCTGTAACATAAGTCTCGTCGGCCGATGTCAACTCAATGAGACGAGTGAAGTGTGTGCAGATCGCGTCGAGCGTTGCGATGTTAGCGAGGCGGAGTTGGCCAAGGGTAGATTGCAGAACAGAGACCCGAGTCTCTTCGGAGACATCTGTAGCGGTGGTGCTGTAGATGGTCTTGACAATCTCGTAGACGTGAGAAGAAACCAGTGAGTCTGTTACAATTAGCAAAGGATCTGATGATGCAGAGTTGACACCTACCAGGAAGTTCCAACAGGTAGAGTTTGAGGACGCTCGCAACAATCGGTACATCGTACTTCTCGAGTAGTTCATCTGGGAACCTCTTTCCAGTGTTGATCTCAGCTCGGAGGGTGTGAGTCTGCGCCAGAGGAACATCAACGAGCCAGATGCCACGGCGTGCTTCGTCACCCTCCAAGTCGGGGTAGTGGTTGTCCAGGAAGGTGAGAACTGTCGTAATGAGTACCGGAACACGCTTCTTGTCTGAGCGAGCCCGAGCCTCCAAATCTACACCGAATGTTTGTTCTGTGTTTGTTAGTATATAGTTGCATCTCGATATACATCGTGACGTACCGTCTACTGAGTTGTAGTAATTCTCATAAGTCGTGACTCTAGGCACGAATGGCCCTGTCCTGTAGTTCTCGAGCATGTATCGGAGATCGCCTAGGGGCTGGACTGTCTCCTGGAACAGCATCATCTTGTCGACGGTGCTCTGCAGACTGGGAATTACGTTGCTGACAGCGCCAGAGAAATCCAAGATAACCGCCTTAATAGCCTTCAGCCTGTCCAATTCGCAACGCTCCATGAATTTGAGATGGTCCACCATAGCCTCTTCCAAATTGCACCGTAGCGAGTCAAGCTTCTTGACTGATGCCTTGTAGCGCTCATCGGACTCGTGTGCCTCCCGCCTGAGCCTCTCTGCTGGTGTCTCATTCGGGTACTGGTTGTTGAGCGGGTTCCACCCCTGGAGGTATTCCTGCACGGTCGAGACGGGCGAGTCCACGGCAATGCTGTCGGCTGAGGAGCTAGACATAGTGGTAGAAGAGCGGGCGAGAGGCTGCTTCTTCTCAGGCAGTCCGGTCACCTGGAACGTCTTGGGCTTCCATTGGTAGTTCATGCGGGAGCTGTTGGCGAATGTGTTTCCCACGTTTCCTACTAGGCGCAGAAAGCCGTGTGCTACCAGGTCTTGACCAATGCGCTCGGCATAACTCACGGTGGTTGCTGCCATGTGCTTCTGGATGTATTCGGTGATATCGGCACCGCTTGAGCAGTTCTGGTAGGTGCCGAGAATGGGAACCTTGACCTCTGCAATCTTGATGTTGTCCAGCATGTGCGTGAGGATCTTCTTGATCTGGTCGGGCTGGTACGTCTCGTCACCAAGATCAATGGGCTCCTCTTCCTCATTCTCCGGCTCCGACATTTTTATGGTAGGCACTTTCATCTTGGGGCTCTGTGCGGCCTCGCTCTGGGGGTCCTGAAAAGCAAGCTTGTCCTCCTCCTCCAGGTCTTCGACAAGCCGACACTTGTTGTAGTATTGCGATCGGTACTTGCGGACAGCATCGGCCTGTCGGTCGTGGATCTTGATGCGCGATTGGAGGTCGTCCTGGGAGTTCTGCACGCGGGCGGCATGCGCTTCGCACCAGCGACCGAACGGGTTCACGACAAGCTCACGGATGTTGGACGCAATCTTCTTGTGGTTTGCGGCGGCTGCCTCCATCTCGGTGCGCACGCCCTCATAGGCCTAGTACCAGTTAGCATGGGGTTGTCGCCGTGTCTCCTGCTCACGCACCTTGCGCACGCTTGCGCCCTCATCTCTGCTAAAGCCCCCGCCTATGCGATCTGTGGCTGGTGTAATCGAGGACAGGCTGTTTCCGTACGCCTCCTCGGCATCGGCTCGCATGCGGGCCACGGTCAGAATCTGCTGGTTTTCCTGCACGCCCTGCTGCAGCTTGCCAAAGAGGACGCCCAAGCCTGCGAGAGTTAGCCCGCGCGGGGTGGTGTTGGGTGCGCCTGCAGCTTACCTCCGGCATAGTCGCTCGACCAAAAAGAGGCCGCAAAGCCCGTCGTCATGGCTTGGTGTGAAGTGGGGTATCAAAAAGAAACAACCAAGTTGGGTACTGGTACGGGTGTGGTCGGTCAACGGCCGTAGTGAGCGCGCGGAGAAGTGAGTCTGGGGAACACGCAAGCGCAGGCCCGGTGCTCGAGCGTGGGTGACGTCGCCCTACAAAGAGGCTACTCGCGTAACGGGCAGTGCGTCGTGAGTGGGCGCAGCGCAGTGGTACTCGACACGGGCGGCGGCGGCGGCGTCGGGGAAGCGAGGGCAATGACTGACTGAGGCACGTCGGTGTCAGGAGGGTTTTGCAGGCCGCAGCTGGGGCACGACTGCAGAAGAGCTGAGAGCTGAACGATGTCTCATGTACCCCTGCATGTGGCCGTTTGTCGTGACAGCCCTGGCACCGTCAGGCAAGCCTACCAATCTTGCGCGCTTCCGACATTTCGCCTTTAGCGGACGATATAAATACCCACGCAATTCACCGACCCCCAAGCGCGGCCCCTGCATACGATGTGGTAGACTAGTCCGAGCCCGCGCCTACTACCGTCTATGCATCATCGCCAGTCGCTGGGCTAATGCTGTCGCCCTGCCAGGTCCCCTAAATCGACAAGTTACTGCTCCGAACACTGACAGACGCGACGTCTGCGGGGCTCCGTCATCACTGCCAGACTAACCCTGCACGCGGAATAAGCCTTATTACAGGCCCATTCAGGAGAAAGTCAAGTCTCCGCTAATCATTCATCCGTCTTACATACTCTGCGCAAACATTCGCCTTGGCCGTCCAGGTCAGCCCCGCCATCAAAACTCACGCCTCGCAGCGGGACCGAGATCTCGCTCGGCAAACGCCTCCGGGTCCACGCACCTCTTCTCCCTATCATGGCTCCAGCTGCCTTTGATGCCAACACACAACTCAACTATGCCCGCCACATCAAGTACTGGCGGCGGAACCTGAAGACTCTGCTGCCGCACTTCTACACCAGCAATGACTCCAACCGCATGCTGTTGGCCCTTTTCACCGTGTCCGCTCTCGACATTCTGGGAGATTTAGACGCTGCTTTGTCAGTCGAGGAGCGCCATGGGCACATCGAATGGGTCTACAGCTGCCAACTGCCTGAAGGCGGCTTCCGCCCGTGGCCAGGGTCCAACTACGGCGAGCTCAGAAGCGAAGAAAACAAGAACTGGGACCCTGCCCATATTCCTGGAACTTTCTTTGCCCTCTTGACGCTGGTCGTACTGGGAGATGATCTGGAGAGGGTCAAGAGAAAGGAGATCTTGACATGGCTGGTCAAGATGCAGAGACCAGAGGGTAGCTTTGGGGAGACTTTGGGCGATGGCGATTACGTTCATGGCGGTAACGACTCAAGATTCGGCTACATGGCTACAGCTATCAGATGGATACTTCGAGGCAACCTCGAGGGACCGTGTGAGGGTATTCCAGATATCGATGTTGACAACTTCGTCACGTGTGTCCAACAAGCAGAGTGCTACGACGGAGGCATCTCGGAATCGCCTTACCATGAAGCGCATGCGGGCTTCACCTGCTGCGCCATCGCTGCCCTGGCTTTCTTGGATCGTCTGCCCTTACCTCCATCACAAAAACCGGACGGTGTCATCCGCGGAGTAACCGACGTCCCAAAGACGCTACACTGGCTCGTCTCACGGCAGACGCTGACTCTAGACGAGGACGACGGCTTGGATACTATGAATGACGAGACAGATACATCAGAAACCTGCCATGACGCGCATACGTTTGTCAAGCTGGGCGCCTACCCATCAGTACAGGCAAAAACCAACACAAAAGGACGGCCTCACATTCACTTCGAACTCGAGTGGGTTGGAGTGAATGGTCGATGTAACAAGGTAGCAGATACATGCTATGCTTACTGGACCTGCACGCCCTTACAACTCCTCGGTCATCTAAATATTGTCGATCGGCAACCGATCCGGAAGTGGTTACTAGATAAGACGCAACATCTCGTGGGAGGATTCGGCAAAGTCACAGGAGACCCACCCGACATGTATCATTCTTTCCTAGGCCTCATGGTTCTTGCCATGTTTGGAGAGACTGGCCTTCAGGACGTTGATCCGGCTCTGTGTATCACGCACAAGGCGAAGAAGCACCTAGAATCACTTTCGTGGCGGAGGAAGATTCTAGGACTAGACAAAGAATCCAATGGTGCAAATGCTCCCTCACAAGAAAGCATTGGCCTGGCTGGTGAAAGAACGCAAATAGATGCATAGACACATGGGAGTCGCCATACCCAGCGCGCATCCTGTTTAAGGCTGCGAAGGACCTTTTCAGTCATCATGATTCTAGAACAATAAATCTCAATTGATCGGAATGCAATTAGACAGTAATCACATCACGATCCTCCAGGGCTGCCTTCCAGGGTTCATGGTAGTCCCCAGACGGCGTAGCGCCAAAAGACCTCGGCCCCACCTGGACTCCCAGATCCCTGTCAGCCAGGTAATTTTCCCAAACTCCGACACCATTCTCTGCGAACATCTAGCGACAGCAACGAGCCAAATCACGCCGAGCCCCACATTCCAGATTGCACTCAACACAGGCTGCAGTCATGAGGAACGCGCCGCCGCCATCGAAGAAGCGCAAAATCGCCGTCGCAGTCCCCGAAAAGATCGAGTTTGACTTTTCGGCGCGCGAAGAATACCTCACCGGGTTCCACAAGCGCAAACTTGCACGGATAAAGCATGCACAAGAGGAGAATGCGAAGAGGGAGAAGGAGGAGAAGCTGAGGTTTAGACGCGAGGTAAGCACACGATTGCGACGTCCCATCTCTAAGGTTGCACGACAAAGACGTTCGTTTTCTGTCACCGGCGCATCTCTGGGTTGTATTCAGAACAGTACAGAGGCTAACGATACCCTAAAATCCAGCTCCGAGAACAGCGCAAAATCGACCTAGAGAGACACGTTGAGGAAGTAAACCGACTTGTCAAACAAGCCAACGGCGACCTCGACCTCAGCGAAGCAGGCGAAACATCCGCCAATGACGACGACGACGATGACGAGGAAGAATTCACAGGCTTCCAAGAACCAGAGCCTATAAACCAGGAAGACGAATACATCGACGAAGACAAATACACAACCGTCACGATAGAAAGCGTGGGCATATCCAAAGCCGGGTTTTCAACACAGGGACAAGAGGACGAAGAGGCTGCTGCAAAGAGGAAAGCAGACGAGGAGAGGAAAAAGGCGGAAGAAGAGAGCAAGAAGCGGGTGTGGACAAAGGCGTGGCCGAAGAATAGCGAGAGGCCAAAGAAGAAGAAGAAGAAGTTTAGGTATGAGACCAAGACGGAGAGAAAGGCCGAGCGCATGAAGCAGGGCATGAAGAAGAGGAAGCAGAAGGAGGCTAGGGAGAACAAGTAGACTGGTAGATGTGTTGCTTGTTGGAAAGAAAGCTAGTGACTATACACGGCAAGACAATGATACCCCTTCACGAAGTCAAGCTGAACCCCGCATGTTGGTGCGCTGCCATGGTCGTGTTTTGCACAAGTCCAGCATTATTTCACTGCATAACTGCAGTGGGTCGTTCACCGCTCCTTGGTCAAACCTGGCAAAGCACATGTGAGTAACAAAGACAAAGGTGTCAGGAACCGCCAACAATGTATTCGCTCAGGGATTATCTAAAGCGAAGGCCCGCCCAGCAAGCAGCCGCAGGAAAGAAACAGATATATAGGGGTTTAGGGTAGGGTAGGGGGTACGGGGGAATGTAATGTGAAATCTGCCTCTTCTCCAAGCTCCACTGCATGCCGTGGTAATCATCCTCCGCCACTACTAGCCACCACGGACCGTTCCTCTTGTCGCACGCGCTCGAAATCGGCATCCGCAGAGGGACGATATCGAAGCTCGACTCAGAACTCGACTAGATACAGTCAACAACCGCAAAAGAGAGACGACAGCGAGATCAGATGTTACCGATCTCCTTGACAAAGTCGTCGAGCTCCTTCTTGGTGTCGGCGTATTTCTTGGCCATCTCTTCGTACTTGGTTTCCCACTGGTCGCGGGACTGCTCGAGGGCTTGGACTTTGCGTTCGTAGTGGCCGGACTTGACGTCGGTTTGGCGGAGCCTGGAGGGTGACGTGTCAGTGGCTGCAGATCAGGGGCCGGAAGCGTGGAGGGTAGATAGGAAAGGGGAACAGCAACGGCATCAGAGGGTGAATGAACGTACTTCTCGTTGAGCTCGCGGATAGTCCTGTCCGATTCCTCAGCTTCTTCCTCGAGAACTTGGATCTTGCGCTGGAGGCTCTCGGCCTGGGTGCCGGCCTGAGCGCCTGCACCAGCTTCGTCCTTGTGGACCTTGACTTGCCCCTCAAGCTTCTCCACCTCGCTCTCGAGAACGGAGTTCTTGTGCGTCAGCGACGTGATCTCCTGCTCCTTCTGTGTCGTCTCCGACTCGAGCTGCTTGATCTTGGCCTTGTACTCCTCGGCGCGGGCGCTGCTCTCGTCCGCCTCGACGCGGAGAGCTTCCATGCGCTGTGCAGAACGTCATGTCAGCGGCTGCTTTGGTACGACAGGCGTGCATTGTGGCGTCGGCTGTGGACTGGGTACCAAAGAAAGGGGATTTGGCGGGGTATGCGTGGACTCACCTTCTTGATCTGATCCATAGCTGCGGGAGGTGTGTGGTGCGGGCGACAGGTGTTTGTGTGGTTTTTGTAGGTGAGGAGAGCAAAGGAGCTGCAGCTTATGTAGGGATGGGGTACGGTCGGTGGTGCTTTGTTGTAAGAATTGTCTCCTGCAAGCGGATGGGCAAGCTGATAATGCGGGCAGGCGCTACCTCCGCCCGGACCCTGTGCGAAGCCCAGACCCTCTTTGCTGCCGCCCTAGCAACCGGCCGTAAACACTCAACACCCGATAGCGATAGCCACACGACTCGCTCAATGTAACCCCCAGAATGGCTACTCTCGCAGCAAACGACCAGGAGAACGCCGTCCGTCATCTGCACGCGGGTGCGGCGGGAAAGTCGCTCAATGCCGGCCTCAAGGGCTTAAACGCCAAAACACCCGGCAACAAAGCCCCCAAGACGCCTTTCAAGATCCCCCTCAACGACGAAAATGCCGTGGGCAAAGCGGGCAAGGGAAACGAGCTCTTCACCACCAACAAGGGCGGCAAGATCGACCAGAATGCCTTCGTGACGCCAGCCGGTAAGAGGAGAGATGGCAGACTGCGCAAGACGCCAACTGACACGTCTAGGTCCGCGCACGCGCGCGCCGCTGGGCATGAAGACGACCAACGCCAAATCGAGGCCCTTTGGAACCCCAGCGCCCCTCTCTTCCGCAAAGACACAGAAACTCAGCCCTCGCCTGCGCCGCCCCAAAGTCAAGGTCCACCAGCCGGAAGTCGCGCAAGAGTCCGAAGATGACGTGCCTGAGATCGAATACATGCCCCCGAAGGAGGTCCCGCTCGAAGATGACATGGACGAATACCTACCCAAGAACTGGACCATGCCCAAGCTCAGTAACCAGGACATGGTCCGCGGCATTTGGCAAGCCTACCACAACCCAATTGAGGACGATGGAAGGACGCGTGAGCAGCGCAAGTTCGAGGAGGAGATAGAGCAGGGTCGGAAGAAGCGTGATGAGCAGATGGATAAGATACTCGCGGCGCAGATGGCCAAGGACGATGCGGAGACGAAGGAGTACTACGGTATCAAGGAGCCCAAGAAGGAGGCCCCGAAGGCACCTGCTGCCCTCAGGAAAGCGGCCACTGGACCATCGACCATGCGAGCCAGATCTGCTGCCGCCGCTCTCTCTCCACCGTCCAAGCCTAGCTACGCTGCTCCCACTGCAGCTGTAAAGTCGCGCGTACCCACTGGCCTAGTCGCAGGCAGGAAGGGAGCAAAGACGCCCACCGAGCTCACAGCATCCCGTCAAGCATCCGCCGTAGCAGCCTCCAAGAGCACCATCGGCTACGCCCAAGGCCGCGCCGGACGCGCAGCCCCAGCTGCACGCAAGCCTCTCTCCAACGTCACCAAGCCCGCTCCTTTCTCCGCTGGCCCCCGACCCGCCTCCTCGACGCATATTCGCAGTGCCAGCACAAACACTGGTACCATGCGAGGTCGCGGCCCCGTGTCTCGCTGCAGCTCAACTTCCACCAATGCCACACTTGTCACACCTCCAGAAGAAGAGCAGCCCCGCCGCACAGCTGAAGATCTAGAGCGTGAAATGGAGTTGTTGCTTCTGTCACGCTCCGACGACGAGGACGACGACGCGTGGATGAATAGCTTCAACACGCAGCTACACGGTGAAGATCCACTCGATGAAGACCACGAGAATTTCCAGCTTCAACTCCCTGAAGGTTTCTAGGCCGTCGTGGACAGTTTGGAGATGGGATATCAAAATGTCTGCGGATGACCACTTTGTTCGTCATTGTACTGTTAATGGGTTGCGGAGTACCGGTATTTGATACCTTTTGTTTTACACGCGCATGATTATTTTGGTCTACATGCTATCACGGTGGCTTACAGTGCACAATACATAGCATGATTGTACTTGTATTAAACACCACCTGTTTCACTGTCACTACTACACATCAAGTCATATACCACCAATGTAAAATCACCGACAACAGACTGTCCAGTTGATAATAGCATTTCATTAAGATGTAGCAAACGTCGTCGACCAGAGGAAGCGACCCTTCCTCCAGTCCCACCAACTGTTTGCCCCTGTCTTTCTCAAGCATATACCCATTCTGCCTTCCCTTCCCCAACCAAGCCATCCATCCAGTTTCTCTTTTGGTTCAAGGAAAAGCTTACGCAAAGACAATAGTATGAAGAAAGACCCCATGTACCCCAGTCCCTACACACAAAGGGAGGGGGCCAAGATGCGCGCTTCTGGAAACCAAGAAGGAGGAAAACACCGTAAATGCGCCATGCTGCTAGAATCAAGTAAGACTGAGGAAAACGATGACGACGGGTGACTCTGAGCGTCGGTGACTGTCGCGGATGGATACGGATGTTCGTGATGTTGTCGTAATAAGAGGACGGATGTGGGGTTTGTGGGATGCAGTATGTGGTTGTGTAGATTAGATTTACTTGCTCTTCCGCTTGCCGGACATGTATGCGTCGGGAAGCGTGGAGTTCAAAGTATGATGAGTTGATGGACCAGACGGATCAGTCAACGACCTCGTCGACGGCATAGAGATTCTGGTTAAGAATCTTATTCATGGTGAACATGTGGACGCGGTCTTGTTTGAAGACTGCACGCATGGCGTCGTCGCAGCGGAT